TTCCTGTTTTTGAGGCTCACCAATGGTTTACATCTTGTGGTGAACCCTCTGTATTCACTCTGGTGAAGTCTTCTCTTGTTTATTGGCTTTGACACACATACACCTACCTCCTGGAGAGTGTTCTTGATCTGGCCAACTGTTGTGAAGGGTGTTTTCTTCACCAGGGAAAGAATTCTTCAGTCATCCACCACAGTTGTTTTCCGTGGTCTTCCGGGTCTTTTGGTGTTGCTGAGCTCCCTGAGGCATTCCTTCTTTTTAAGAATGTTCCAAACAGTTGTTTTGGCCACGCCTAATGTTTTTGCTATCTCTCTGATGGGTTTGTTTTGTTTTTTCAGCCTAATTATGGCTTGCTTCACTGATAGTGACAGCTCTTTGGATCTCATCTTGAGAGTTGACAGCAACAGATTCCAAATGCAAATAGCACACTTGAAATGAACTCTGGACCTTTTATCTGCTCATTGTAATTGGGATAATGAGGGAATAACACACACCTGGCCATGGAACAGCTGAGAAGCCAATTGTCCCATTACTTTTGGTCCCTTAACAAGTGGGAGGCACATATGCAAACTGTTGTAATTCCTACACCGTTCACCTGATTTGGATGTAAATACCCTCAAATTAAAGCTGACAGTCTGCAGTTAAAGCACATCTTGTTTGTTTCATTTCAAATCCATTGTGGTGGTGTATAGAGCCAAAAATGTTAGAATTGTGTCAATGTCCCAATATTAATGGACCTGACTGTACAGTATGCTCAGTCTCATACAGCTCTATAATATGTATTTTACATTGCTTACATGGGTTTTACTCCTCTTATTTAATTTTTATATTTTATATTTTCTTGTATGGTGTCTTTTGAATTAATTGTCTTGTTGCTGAAGTCCAACAATTTGTTTGTTGTTCTACATATGGCAGTGTAAGAAAAAAAACTAAATGAAACCCACAGTAATTCAATGTTCTATGGCTATAAAACACAAAAGCTTGCAAGGGGGATGAATCCTTTTTATAAGAACTGCATCTAAGGCCTACAAAGTATTCACGTATGAGCAAAAAAAACGGTGTAACAATGATACAATTTTATAATGGGCAGTTAAATGTTTCTTCTTCATTAAAACCCATATTTTAAAATTCACTGTGGATTTATGTGCTCCAGAGTAGGTCATGTCAATTGCAGTGTTTTATTGCATGATACTAACTACTATATTGATATTTTAAAGCATATTGAAGCTTAGCTTTGTACAGAAGGGTTGGAATCCATATCATTCTTTTATTGGTGTCTGTGAATACACTAGAGTGATTCACCACTTCTATCTTCATAGTTCCATAGTCTATCTAGAAAAAGAATAGATAGAAAACCTCTATATGCACACTTCTATACCACAGATGATACAGAAGAAGTGGCAGTGGATTTTTTTTTCTGGTGACTATTCTCTGTCTCCTTAATGGGTCACAGACCATAAAAAATTATCTAGTGTCAGCTTGTGTTGAACATATGAACTGCTTTAACTGTCAAAGGACTTGTGTTTCTGTTTAGTTACCCTTGTAATTTAGTTATCTTGATGGCGCAGTCAGTTGTGAACAGGTAAACGTGTTGAGAACGGAGTGGTTCATCAGTCTACTGTCCTCTCCTGTAAACAGGTTCACACTTGCGGACTTGCAGTTCTGTGCAAAGCAATGGCTGGCTCAGAGTGTAGACCCTTCTCTTTCACTCTAAATAAGAGACTATAGGGCATATAAAGAAAATATATATAATGTTTCTAAGATGAGCATGTTTCCAGGCAGGCCTCCTATTAGTCATTCTGTGTGCACATTTTCTTTTATACAGTACATTGCTGACAGAAGATAATAGCAATAAGTTCAGCTCTGAGCTGACATACAGGGGTACTTCAGTGCTCAGAGTGGGGTGTGTCTGTGTTGAGAAGCTGGGATAAATGTGGCAACTTCTTGAATAGTGAAGTTCCACTTTAACAGACCCATGATCTCTTGATAAAGAGTATCTTTAAAAAAACAAGTAAAAAAAGTGTAAAAAATAAAACAAAAATAATTTAAAAAAATGTAAAAGCACCCCCATCCCCTCGTGCTCACACACAAATGTAAACATGCACGTTGGTCAGACACACACATGTAAATGTTGATTGCACCACAAATGAGGTTTTGTCACAAACCACTAGTGCAATAACTCACATTTAAACTTTAAACTGATAACCAGTAAAGGATTTTAAAGTGTCTCCTATGGCCAATTTTGTCATACAGTAGCTTGCTGCCATTTCAAAGCTGTGCACAATTTTGAATCTTTACTATTTACAAGATGCAACACCATCTTTTATATTTTGTCAAAAAATTGTATTTTATTGTATTTGTGTCCACTAAAATTCAATCAAGTGTATTTTTTCCTGAAAATTGCATTTGATAAATGACTGCACAAATATCATGACATAACAAAATTCCAACAGGCACCATTTTATTCTCCAGGCCTCTTCTTTCAGAAAGTATATAATGTTTGTGGGTTCTGAGCAATTTTCTAGCAAAAAAAAAAAAATGCAGATTTTAACATGTATGTGAACATTTTCAAAATTGCCCTGCTAGACAATTGGTTAATATGTTAATCACATGTTAATGTGTAGTCTTTTTTGGATTTCAACCTTTTTTTTTGTTGTTCAAAATTGTTTTTTTAAGGAACAAGAATTTCTCCCAATGGGAGGAGAACTGTCATCTTACATGTAATTTAGATATACTGTATAGAAATTGCATCAAAGGTAGACATACAGAGTACTGCATGGGACGATCTCTTTTTTTCCCAATAGCACTAGGTGCATAATGATTGTAAGCAATTCATTAACAACAAACCTTTAGCAATCAAAAACAATTTGCTCTGCAAAAACATCTCCACTCTCATAGGAAATTTTTTAGATTCATGACATGCATATTCGCAAATCATCAATGTTGCATTGTAACACAAAAAGAAATGATGGATTCTCATCGAAAGAGGTAGTAAGTTAAGGAGCAAGGAGTATTGGTGGAGAAGAGAAGTTAACAGAACTAGTAAAGAGGGTTCTCCCAGCTCATTAATTATTCAATATGCATCGAATCCCAAGGGTACCAGGTTTTGTAGAACTTGGTCAAATTATTTAGAAGTGTACATGTAAATTTGTCATTAGTCATCATCCAATTCAGCTTTTGTTTTACATAGTCGAATACCACCACCAATTCCAGCATCTTCCAACTGCTATTCTTGCTACCAAAACCATGTATGTGATCAATCTTCTGGTTTTACGGAATATATATATATATATATATATATATATATATATATATATATATATGTGTGTCATAAGTTTGATGTAAACTATCTATATGTGTTAACTTAAAAGCCTTGTTTCCTTGTATGTAACTTTTTATACAACATATTTATATACATTCTATATAAGCATTTAGGTTACTGAAAGAACATTCTCTACTACTCCTTTAGTAAACCAACCCCTATATGTCAATTGACTAACTGAAAGCAAAGCTGTGCATATGTGGCTGATTTTTAACCCCTGGTTGCTGGCGTAACACAAATATGTGGCCCACAGAACTGGGCTTTTTTCCATGCGGCCACATATTTGCATACCTGTCTTTGTGCTGGGAGCATGCCACACGGTGTGTTCCCAGCACAAAAGACCGGGGTGTTGCTGAGAACCCCAGGTCCCGTTCTAACAATCGAGATCCGGAACTCCCAATTTCAGGTCACATGATCACTGTGATAGCCTCTGACTGGCTATCACAGTGATCAGTCACTGTGAAGCCCCCCCCCCCCTTGTTTTTTTTTCCCTCTCTGAATGGAGGAGAGAAATACATTGTAAAAAAACAACTGTTTGTAAAAAAAAAAGATAAAAATTAAAAGATAAAAGAATAAAATAAAGAAAAAATACCTAGATCAAGGTTTGATCTAGTTCAGTGCCAGGGTTAGTGTTTGAGTCAAGGTCAAAAGTCAGGATTTTTTTTTCTTTTAAATTGGTATCAGTGTCAGTTACTGTCAGTGTGTTTTAGGTGACCAAAGAAAAACAAAAAACAAAGATCGCACTATTGTTTCTGGACTGTACTACATGTACTAATAATATAAACATATCTGGTATCACTGCGATTGTCAAGAGCTGGAGAATTTATTTTGGGTTGTTTTTTGGTGGTAGGTCATGGTAGTAACAAGAAACAAACAGCTAAATTTAAAAAAGTGATTTCTTTTTTTTTTTTTTTTTACTATTTAAGGCCAGTTTTCCTTTAATAATAGAAAAAAAAAATAGGGGATATCCATTACCATTTACCACCAAATGAAAGCCCAATTTGTCCTGGAAAAAAAGCAAGATATAATTCACCTGGATGTACAAAGTAGTTGTGATAATATGTATAGTTTTACTAACACATGTCAACATTGTAAAATTTTACTTAGGTTTTAAGATTTGTTTTACCCTTAGGCGTGAAGGGGTTAAATAGAAAGATTTAGGCCTTTTTACATAGGCAGCCAGAGAAAGAGGAAGGGGAGGGTGTAAAAACAGAACTAAACTCTAAAATACAGCTGCAAGGGGGCTGTTCACATTTTGCACCAAATTTAACATGGAGGTAGCACTGTCTATCAAACTTGGTGATTTAAGTCATTGAAACTGTACAGCAACTGGCAGCCAACCACCTGGCTTGCAGTTGCAGTGCATTAGTCCCACTGTAAAATGCTGTTCAGGGAAAAAAAAAAAACAAAAAAACAAGCTTGACACCTGACAGCAGCTGCATAACAACATTCTGAAAGTGATCCATTGCGGTTTTCTTTTTAAAGCATGGGCTTGTGTGCTTAATTGTCACAAGCCACTAAAATATGTAGGAGAATGCATGTCAAATGTGAAAATCATATAAACATCTTCAATGTACACAGCAATAATCATTAATAATCTGTATGTGTATACTGAAAACACATGATACTATAATATATTGCAGTATATAAGTAAACCTAAAATATCTTGTCTTGTTTAGATATGTACCCTATTCGATTGGTGGGTGGCTTGAACAGATGTGCTGGACGTGTGGAAATATATGATGGAACACAGTGGGGAACAGTATGTGATGACATATGGAACATCAATAATGCTGATGTTGTGTGCCGACAGTTGAAATGTGGGTCTGGTGTTGCAGCTCTAAGTAATGCTCATTTTGGACCGGGTAATGGAAGTATTCTTCTTGATAATGTGGAATGTATTGGAAATGAGCAGTACCTTTACCAATGTAATCATAGTGGATGGGGCTCCCATAACTGTGGACATCAGGAAGACGCAAGTGTCATCTGCTCAGGTATATGATTGTTGCTCTTATAATACCACATATACAGGTTATGGTATGCATAGAAAGATATGCTTTAATTGAAATGATTTAAACAAGTAAAGATACAAATGTAACAGGTTGCACTGTAAAATTAATGCTCCCAATGAACACACTCATAATTCAGTGATTTGATTTCTCCTGGCTATTTCTGTAGGATGAATTCTAACCATGCTTAAATGTGAGATAAATGTAAGTTAAATGTGAGACCTACAACACTTTGAAAACAGGAAAAACCTATGTGTCAGGTAATAAAATCCCCAATACAAAACATGATGGCCAAAAATTAACCTCTGACTATGTACAGTATTTCATAAGTCTGTACAAACCAGACATTTATTGAACCTCATAAAGACCATAAATGAGAGAGCAGTGTTTTTTTTTTTTTGTTGCAAGATGTAAAATTAGAAAAACATACAACAAAAAAACGAGTTGTTGAGTCAACACCACTACTAAAGAAAAGAGTGTAACTAAATTTAAAGTGCCAAATATAGGAACCCAAGATATTCTTTTATTTAATAATCCAAATGTCAAAACATGTATACATTATACTATTTAAAATTAAAGGATAAGTTCACCTACATAAAAAAAAATAATAACATACAATTTTTTGCAGGTTAAAAAAAAATATTAATGCTCATTTTTTTACCTGCAAAAAGATTTTGTTTTACTTATTTTTACCAGGACTCATGCAGACTATCAGCTCAAGTTGTCTGCTAATACAGGAAGGCTGTTACACAATGACAGAAAGCATCAATGAACTAGCTAGAGCACTCAACAGTGCCCTGGTAGTTCATTGAAAACTAAAGACCAACAGTTGCAAAGGCTGTCGGTACTTGCAGCTCTCCCATTCATAGAACTCGTATTGTAATAATATCAAACAGATCACATTGGTGGCGAGACTTATTCTATGCACAATAAAGATTATAAATGAATCATCCAATTGAAATTTTCACATGACAGACCATTAAGGCCATACACATCAGCAATGGGATATAATCAGTGCCTTCTGTATACAGCAGAGGGCATATGTAAATCATCTCATTATATTCTCTTTATGCAGTGGATTTTTGTAATCATGAGCATCCAACTACTTTACATTGGGTCATACTGAGAAGAAGAAGTCCTCAGTACATATGACACCCCACTTCAACATGTAACACAGATGCCTCCAGCATAAAAACCAATAGATGTGTTGGCTTGCATCTGAATAGCATTATTATACCCACATGTGTTGTAATATGCACCAAAAAGTCCCCCCATTCTGGAAATGATCTAAGTCAATCAATGATCCATGTCCCAACTGTGGACAACCACTTAAAGCTGAAATGTGGCCCATTCATGGCATAAAGCAATCAGCATTCATAAACAGTCCCCGCCAGCCGTTGAGACTGAGATATGTAAAGTTGAAGGACATACTTATCAGTCCATCAAATCATGGGTCCACAATCATGGTTCTTTATATCTTAATCCATCCGTTGGTAAATGTAAATAGTAAATACAAAAACGAGTAAGCCTGGGAGGAAAAAAATTACTTTGGAAACCAAGTGTAAATCATTGTTAAATTACTTATTCACTATACAACTCAGCCATCCAAAGCTTTTGCCAAAATTACTCAAAATGCATTTATACAAATATATACAAAAAATGATGAATTCTCTTTCTCCATACCCACCTACCCTTGCCTGGTATTACTCATATACTAAAGAGAGTTAAACTCTTCTCCATTCAAACAATACAGTAGACATGTGCGAGTCATTTTGTTACGAATCGAAATTCGGACAAATTTATGTTATTCGGAGATTCAGATGTATCTGAATCACTGAATCACAACAGTAACAAATTTCAACTAATCCAAAATAAATGAAATTGAAACAACAAATTTATTTGTGTTGATTAGTTTCATTTGCAACTTCAGATGGTTTTTTTGAGTTCAGTAATATGTGTCACACTCTGTATTGTTATGATTGGCCAAGCCAAAGTCACAAGCAAATCGCATTGAAGTCACAAGCAAGTGGCAATGCAAAGTCACACTGGAAACATAACGAATTAATCTGAATCTTCTGAAATAACTTCTGAAAATTGATTCATGAATTGATTCACAACAAATATATGGAACAAATCCAAATATATGAAACTAATTCCAAAAACAAATAATTTGAACATAATGAATATGACTAAATTAAATGACTGACCTATCGAATATATCCAAAATCAATTGTCATGCACATCTCTACAATACATACCTAGTTTAAAGTATATAGCAACCCTTACCTTGTTAAACAGCCCATTCTGTTTAAAATAGAAATGAAAGGCAAAATATGTGTGTGTATATGTATATGTGTGTATATATATATATATATATATATATATATATATATATATATACACACACACACAATATATTGCCAAAATTATTGGGACGCCTGCCTTTACATGCACATGAATTTTATTGGCATCCCAGTCTTAGTCTGCAGGGTTCAATATTGAGATGGTCCACCCTTTGCAGCTATAACAGCTTCAACTCTTCTGGGAAGGATGTCCATAGTGTTTAGGAGTGTGTCTATGGGAATGTTTGACCAGCTAGCTGTCGGATCGGGGGGACCAGGGGCCGGACCTAAGTGTCATTTCTGCCCGCTGCCCTGTTCCTCTGCTATTTGCATGAGTCTTGTCTGACAGGTTTTCATGACTTCAAGATAAAATAGGTGACAGGGGAAGGATCTCCAGCACACAGTTGTGATTGACATCCTCAGCTCTGTTCCCTGTGTGCTGTGTGAAGGGGGGAAGGTGTCCCTTCCCTCCTATCAGAGCTCTCCTCACTAAGCTCTACAGTGTGTATTTTCAGCTCCCAACCCTTTGTTTTCTGACAGCTCAGACAAGCTGTATAAATTCTGAAATTTGAACAGCTGTAGAGAAGAGAAGACGGCAGATAAACAGGTATAATTTATGTAGGAGGATTTGTTTCATCTCTGTGTGTCACCTGAGGCAAGTCATTTCACTGGCTATAATTAAGGGTTTAGAACCACATTAACTATGTTAGTCTGTGCTCTTCTCTCTGTCAATAAAAGGAAATCACATGTGGAGACACCTGGAGACAACTATCTAAGGGATCCCCCTTAGTTGGGAGATTTACTCTCTTCTCGCTCTGTCACCTAGACCAGGGGTCTCCAAACTTCCTAAACAAAAAGCCAGGTTATTGTTCTTCAAACTTTAAGGGGGGGGCTGGACTGTGGCCAGCGGGAGTGAACATTTTCCTGGCATTAGTGGGAGTAAACATTGCAACATTTGGTATTGGGGGAGGAACAGTGCCATATCCCGGCTACATCCCATCTCTTCAACCTAACCACATCTTTTGCATTAGCACAATGTATACAGTCCACCACTCACTCTGATGGGAATACATTAGACCTTGTTTTCTCCCGTCTTTGCACTCCCTACAACCTCACAAACACCCCCTTTCCTCTGTCTGATCACAATCTCATCACCTTCACAGTGTGCTCGTCTTCAAATACCTATCCCTCCAAGCGGAAAACAATTACCCGCAGAAACCTTCACAACTTGAACCCTGCTCCTTTCCACTCTGCAACTGACCAACTCTATGACAGAATCTCTCCCCTGTCCTGCCCTCACCTGGCCACTGCTGTCTATAACAGTTCGCTTTCATCCGCATTAGACTCACTTGCTCCTCTAACAACACAAAGCATCAGGCTACGACCGTTACAACCTTGGCAGGCTGATGGCACCAGAAATCTTAAACGACATAGTCGTGCGCTGGAGCGATTGTGGCGTAAAACCAAATCTCAACAAGCATTCACTCTATATAAATCTGCTTTCTTAACATACAATTCCTCCCTTCATGCTGCCAAACAAGCCTACTTTGTCACTCTTATTAATACCTTGTCATCCAGTCCTCGTCGTCTCTTCTCTACTTTCTCCACCTCCACCCCCACCCAGTACCTCACTCACTGCTCACGAGATTGCAAATCATTTAAAAAACAAGATTGACGCAATTCGTAGGGGCATTGCCACAGCACAGACATCCATCCCACTTAGCATACCTTATACTAAACCTCCCTCAACACTTTCCTCTTTTGACCTTGCTACTACCAAAGAGGCCACTAAGGTTTTCTCAGACGCCCGTCTCACTACCTGCCCCCTGGATCCTGTCCCCTCACAACTACTACGGTCACCCTCTTCTTCGATCCTATGCTCCCTCACTCACATCTTCAATCTCTCCCTCTCTACTGGTACCTTCCCCTCTAAAGCATGTGCACATCACTCCCATACTTAAAAAGCCCTCCCTGGACCCCACCAACCTGAACAACTTAAGACCCATCTCCCTGCTGCCATTTACCTCTAAACTCCTAGAACGCTTAGTCTACAATTGCCTGAGCTCCCACCTCACCGACAACAACCTTCTTGACCCTCTACAGTCTGGCTTTCACTCACTCCACTCCACTGAAACTGCCCTACTAAAACTCACTAATGATATACTAACTGCTAAAACCAATGGCCACTACGCCGTACTCTTACTACTTGACCTATCTGCGGCTTTTGAAATGGTTGACCATTCCCTCCTCCTCAAAAAACTCCACTCTCTTGGCCTCAGAGACTCTGCTCTCTTCTGGTTCTCCTACCTATCGCAGCGCTCCTTCAGCGTTACCAATAACGCTGCCTCCTCCTCTTCACTCCCTCTTTCTGTAGGGGTCCCTCAAGGTTCTGTCCTTGGACCCCTTCTCTTCTTCATCTACACCTCCTCCCTTCATCACTTGATAAACTCCCATGGCTTTAAGTACCATCTCTATGCTGATGACACACAAATCTATCTTTCTACCCCTCACCTCACCCCTTCAGTCTCCTCTGGCATCACTAACCTACTAAGTGACATATCAGCATGGATGTCACTCCACTTCCTCAAACTCAATCTTTCCAAAACTGAGCTCTTAGTATTCCCCCCAGCCCATGCCCCCTCCCCTGACTTCTCCATCAAGATCAATAATACAATCATCATTCCCTCCCCTCATGCCAGGGTACTAGGTGTAATCCTAGACTCCCATCTGTCCTTTCAGCCCCAAATCCAATCGCTGTCCAAATCTTGTAGACTTCACCTCTGCAACATCTCAAAGATACGCCCGTTCCTAACCTCAGAAACCACTAAGCAATTTATCCACTCCCTTGTTTTATCTCGCCTTGACTATTGTAACTCCCTCCTCATTGGCCTACCTCATCGCAGGCTATCCCCTCTTCAGTCTATCATGAATGCTGCTGCCAGACTCATCCACCTTACTAACCGTTCTGTATCAGCCACCCCTCTCTGCCAATCCCTCCACTGGCTTCCTATTGCCCAACGGATACAATTCAAAACACTAACAACGTATAAAGCCATTTATAACTCTGCTCCAAATTACATCACCAATCTTGTCTCTAAATATCACCCAAACCGTACTCTCCACTCCTTGCAAGACCTCCTACTCTCTAGCTCCCTTGTCTCCTCCTCCCATGCTCATCCCCAGGACTTCTCCAGAGCTTCCCCAATCCTCTGGAACTCTCTACCCCAATTTATCAGACTATTGCCTACTCTGCTCACTTTTAGGCGATCTCTAAAAACCTATCTCTTCAGGGAAGCCTATCCTGCCCTCAGCTAATACTGGAATCTTCTACTCTTCCAACCTGTCCATCCCCCACAGTTACTACCTTTTGTACCACTAGCCCCTCCCTCCTAGATTGTAAGCTCCAAGGAGCAGGGCCTGCAAATCCCTCTTGTATTGTTGCTGTATTGTCTCCCGTTATATAGCAAAGCGCTGAGCAAACTGTTGGCGCTATATAAATCCTGTATAATAATAATAAAATCATTGGGTGGAATAGTGCCCCATTATTGCTGTCAATGGGAGAAATGGTGCTGTATTGTTGGTGTCAGTTGGCAGAACAGTGTTTTGTATCAATGGGAGGAATAATGCCCCAAGGGCCAGATGAAGGCAAGCAAAGGGCCACATCTGGCCCCAGGGCCGCAGTTTGGAGACCACTGTCCTAGATAAAAAGTGAAGGCAAATCTCCTCAATGGGACACCAATGAGACCATATAAATGTATCTAGTGTCAGTTTTTGTTAAAAATATGAACTGTTTACCTACCTGTCAAAGGATTTGTGCTCCTTTTCAGTTAGCCTTTAGTCATCTAGATGGCACAGGTTAACGTGTTCACAACTGAGGGGGTCATCACTCTCCTGTAAGTAGGTTCATACTTTTAGACGAACAATTCTGTGCAAAGTAATGGTTGGCTCAGAGTGTTGACTCTTTTCTATCACTCAAAGTGCTGCTATGTAATGGGTTAAGGGGCTATAGGGCATATAAAGAAATATGACTGAGCAGGGCTTTCAGCATGTTTATAGGCAGGATTGTAGACTCTTACAAATTATTCTGCGCTGTTCAATTGCACAATCTCACTCCTGCATTTTCTTTAATATATTGCTGGCAGGAGATAATAGCAAAGTTTTTTTTTTTTTTGGTTTTAACCACCTGATCCGCGGAAGGTTTTACTCCCTTCATGACCAGACCATTTTTTTTTTGCTATTCAGCATGGTGCTACTTTAACTGGCAAATGCACAGTCATGCAACACTTTATGCAAATGAATGTATATAATTTGTTTCACCCAAATAGAGCTTTCTTTTGGTAGTATTTGATCACCACTGGGTTTTTTAGTGGGTATCTTCTGCACATGATAGGTAATAAGCTGAGCACATCTTCACTTACTGTACAAAGGTAATTAAGCATTCCCTGAGTGGACATTCTCTACTCCTTTAGTAAATCAAGGCTGTCCACAAACTAACTGAAGCAAACCATTCCATACTTGCTGGGGGAGAGGGGCTATAAAAACAAAGCAACTGAGCCATGTTTTTCTGCCTCCTGACCATCCATCTAAGTCAGTGGTTCTTAACCTGGGTTCGATCGAACCCCAGGGGTTCGATGAGTCAGTCTCGGTGGTTCGGCGGAGGTGACCCACACCCGACTCATATGATTTGTGATGACATGCCCCGCTTGTCCATCATTGGCTGCAGGTGGTCGCGCAACATCGCTTAGCCCAGTGGTCGGCAAGCCGCGGCTCTTGTGTGCCGGGCGCCCGCTCCCCTCCCTCCTCTCTCGGGCGGCAGGGACTCAAATGCAATGATTGGCCAGTCTCGCTGCCACTCACATCCTGATAGCCAGTGATTGGCTGTCAGGATGTGTGTAGGCGGGGCAGCGTGACGAACGTGAGAGGAGCTAGGCTCCTCTCACAGTCCGCCCTGAAGACCGGAACGGCGCGGGAATACAGCGAGAGGAACGCGCGGAGCAAAGGTAAGTGAATTGGCACAGGGGGGACTTGGGGACTTAATATGGGGGATGAATTAATATGGGGAATGAATGACTATAGGGGGGATGAATTACTATATGGGGGATGAATTATTATATGGGGGATGAATTACTATATGGGGGATGTATTACTATATGGGGGATGAATTACTATATGGGGGATGAATTACTATATGGGGGATGAATTATTATATGGGGGGGGATGAATTACTATATGGGGGATGTATTACTATATGGGGGATGTATTACTATATGGGGGATGAATTACTATATGGGGGATGAATTACTATATGGGGGATGTATTACTATGGGGGATGAATTACTATATGGGGGATGAATTACTATTGGGGATGAATTACTATATGGGGGATGAATTACTATATGGGGAAGGAATTACTATAGGGGGGATGAATTACTATATGGGGGATGAATTACTATATGGGGGGATGAATTACTATGGGGGATGAATTACTATATGGGGGATGAATTACTATATGGGAAATGAATTACTATGGGGGATGAATTACTATATGGGGGATGAATTACTATATGGGGGATGAATTACTATATGGGGGATGAATTTTCATACCGTTTGTTACAACATATCTTTGCGAGCAATCCTTTTCGAGGATGCTGGACATAAAGACGAAGAAAAGGAACAGACTTTGTTGCGAAAATGACATGAGAGTGGCACTTGCCAAGGTAATGCCGCGCATTTCTGAAATGGCCTCTGAAAGACAACAGCAGAAGTCACACTGATTTGCGGTAAATATTCATTATTTTGTTTTTGTGTGAAAATCATGTTTTAATGGTTTTGTTCTTTGTTCTTAATGGTTTTGTTCATTTTGTGCACCTATGTATAAATATATACCTATGTTTTGAATTTTAAAAATCATATTTTATTTTTCCAATTAAGAAGGGTTCGGTGAATGCGCATATGAAACTGGTGGGGTTCAGTACCTCCAAAAAGGTTAAGAACCACTGATCTAAGTGCTAAAATACAGCTTGGCTCGCAGTTGCAATGCATTAGTCTCACTTTAAATTGCTGAGAAATAAAACATCTGGGTATCCTCTTTAATGCCCGACAGCAGCTGCTTAGCCACACTCTAAAAAGCGATCCACTGTGGAACACTTTTCAAAGCATGGGTTAATGTGAACTAATTGTCACAAGCCACTAAAAATATGTAAGAATCGCATGTCAAATGTGAAAATCATATAAAGATCTTTAATGTACACAGCAATAATTTAAAATACTGTATGTGTTCACTGAAAATATGTGATACATTGCAATAAATGTAAACCTAAAATATCTTGTCTTGTTTAGATATGTACCCTATTCGATTAGTGGGTGGCTTGGACAGATGTGCTGGACGTGTGGAAATATATGATGGAACACAGTGGGGAACAGTATGTGATGACATATGGAACATCAATAATGCTGATGTTGTGTGCCGACAGTTGAAATGTGGGTCTGGTGTTGCAGCTCTAAGCAATGCTCATTTTGGACCGGGTAATGGGAGTATTCTTCTTGATAATGTGCAATGTGTTGGAAGTGAGCAGTACCTTTACCAATGTAATCATAATGGATGGGGCTCCCATAACTGTGGACACTATGAAGACGCAAGTGTCATCTGCTCAGGTATATGATTGTCACACTTATAACACCACATATACAGGTTTTGGTATGCATAGAAAGATATTCTTTAATTTAAATTATTTAAAAATACATAACCTTGGTCTCTCCCAGCTATTTCCATAGAATATACAGTATATTAGCCATGCTTCATAGTTATCTGTAAGATCCACAACACTTTGAAATAAGGAAAACCTGTCTCAGGCAACAAACCCTAACACCAAATGTTGACTAAAACACTAAAACACATGGAAAATGCAAGAGTTTGAACATAGCTAACTGTGAATGATTACTAAGTTCAGATTTGGGTCAAGCATGGGTTCAAGGTGTTCGCGGAAATGGTGAATTATGCTGCCTTTTTGCAACCGACTACTGCACCGAGTAATACACATCCTGGCCTTAGAATTTAGATGGGTCATGAATTGGGGATTTTTTTGTGTGCCAGCCTACTCATTATAAAGGGATGAAAGGCAATGTTTCCAGCAGTTGTTTGTGAGTGTGAGTTGGAGTAGATAGGGAAAGCTAGCAATATGTTTATAGGGAGAACTAAGAGGAAATAGAGGGGGAGGAAATGGAACAAAATTCCAGGGGGAAGTTTCCCACCTTCCAAACCCAGAGAATTGCATGTCGGTGGGGTGAGATTGCTGAGGACACTGGTTTCATCAGTGACAAAGAGGACTTTGGGTGCTCTGTATCAGGCAATTTGTAGTAAATGAGCTCTTTCATGGTGAAATGACTTTGCAAGGATCCCTGGATTCAGGCCATAAAAAAAACTATTATTGGGTGACCACCCTTTTGGATTCTTAGTACAAGGGGTGGATCTAATGCTACCATTCCAGAGGAAGCACAAAATGCACCACTTAAAGGAGGTGCTATGAAAGAACCTCTCAGCCACATTGTGTGATAGTGGTTGGATCCTCAGTTGCTGCGGGCAACAAGCAGCACCTTAATCATATGATTGCAGACTATTTGTGGTCCAGGGCTGATGCGGACACTGTTCGAGGTGGGGACCCATGGAATGTTTTTCCAGGCTTCAGCACAGCAGGTGGTTTGTTAAAAAGAGACAAATTCACCTGTTCTCAGACACTACTGACTGGCTCAATTTAAATTGAACAAGTCCTGCTACAGCAATGAGTACACAACGTGTGTAGCTGATGCCACAAACTAATTTATTTATTTTCATCTTTATATATTCATCGAGCTCTCCCCTCCCCCCAACAAAAATTGGTACCTTCCATTATTAACCTGCCACCTCTGCTGGGCTATCAGCTTTTGCCACATCTCCTGGCTAAGGCTGGCCATACATTATACAATTATCTTCCAATTTTCTGCCCAATTTCCTTTAGATTTACCTTCAACTGTGTAGTGCAAGGGCCTGCCTAATTGGATACAACTGAAAGTGTTGTTTAGGTTTGTCCTCCTATTATATGGTTTTTGGTAAATCTAAACCAAAAATCTCCAGATAATCCTTTAATGCAGTGGTTCTCAACCTTTCTAATGCCGCGACCCCCTTAATACAGTTCCTCATGTTGTGGTGACCCCCAACCATAAAATTATTTTCGTTGCTACTTCATAACTGTAATTTTGCAGTGGGAGGACTAGTGCCACATCATTGGTGTCAGTGGAAGGAGTAGTGCCCCATCACTGATGTCAGTGGGATGAATAGTGCCCCATCGTTGGTGTCAGTGGGGGGAATAGTGCCCCATCGTTGGTGTCAGTGGGGGAATAGTGCCCCATCGTTGGTGTCAGTGGGGGGAATAGTGCCCCATCGTTGGTGTCAGTGGGGGGAATAGTGCCCCATCGTTGGTGTCAGTGGGGGGAATAGTGCCCCATCGTTGGTGTCAGTGGGGGGAATAGTGCCCCATCGTTGGTGTCAGTGGGGGGAATAGTGCCCCATCGTTGGTGTCAGTGGGGGGAATAGTGCCCCATCGTTGGTGTCAGTGGGGGGAATAGTGCCCCATCGTTGGTGTCAGTGGGGGGAATAGTGCCCCATCGTTGGTGTCAGTGGGGGGAATAGTGCCCCATCGTTGGTGTCAGTGGGGGAATAGTGCCCCATCATTGGTGTCAGTGGGAGGAATAGTGCCCCATCGTTGGTGTCAGTGGGAGGAATAGTGCCCCATCATTGGTGTCAGTGGGAGGAATAGTGCCCCATCGTTGGTGTCAGTGGGAGGAATAGTGCCCCATCATTGATGTCAGTGTGGTGGAGGGGAAATAGTGCCCCATCTTTGGGGTCAGGGGGGGAATAGTGCCCCATCATTGGTGTCAGTGGGGGGGGGAATAGTGCCCCATCATTGGTGTCAGTGGGGGGAATAGTGCCCCATCATTGGTGTCAGTGGGGGGAATAGTGCCCCATCATTGGTGTCAGTGGGAGGAATAGTGCCCCATCATTGGTGTCAGTGGGAGGAATAGTGCCCCATCATTGGTGTGGTGGGGGGAATAGTGCCCCATCATTGATGGTGTCAGGGGGGGGAAATAGTGCCCCATCTTGGTGTTGGTGGGGGGGGGGAATAGTGCCCCATTCTTGGTGTCAGTGGTGGGGGGAGGAATAGTGCCCCATTCGTTTGGTGTCAGTGGGGGGGGAGGAATAGTGCCCCATCGTTGGTGTCAGTGGGGGGGGAGGAATAGTGCCCCATCGTTGGTGTCAGTGGGGGGGAGGAATAGTGCCCCATCGTTGGTGTCAGTGGGGGGGAGGAATAGTGCCCCATCGTTGGTGTCAGTGGGGGGGAGGAATAGTGCCCCATCATTGGTGTCAGTGGGGGGGAGGAATAGTGCCCCATCATTGGTGTCAGTGGGGGGGAGGAATAGTGCCCCATCATTGGTGTCAGTGCGGGGGGGAGGAAATAGTGCCCCATCATTGGTGTCAGTGGGAGAAATAGTGCCCCATTGTTGGTATTAGTGACACAAATGATGGGGCACTATTCCTCCCACTGACACCAATGATACTTACCTTGCTGACCCCTGCTCCAGCCTGGGCTCGCTCTCTCACTTACCTGTCAGCTGTCTTCCTTCTCTGGCCGCTCTCCTCTTCACTTACTCCGGCAGTTCCCTCGATCTTCTTAGATCTGCGCGCTCTGCCGCTCGGCTCCTCCTCTCCAAGCTCCACCTCCTCGCCGGTGATTGGCCGCCTGTGTGCCTCTCCTGAGCTACAGTTCCGGTGGCCAATCAGCCGCGAGGAGGCGGAGTTGTTGAGGGATCCCGGAGGTGTGGCCAGGTGACAGGGCAGCGTGTCATCCCGCCCACACATCGACTGAGTCAGAGGAGCGGTGTCTCGGTTCCTAAGACCATCGGAAATATGTGTTTTCCGATGGTCTTAGGCGACCCCTGGGAAATGGTCGTGCGACCCCCAGGTTGAGAACCGCTGCTTTAATGTATGGCCAGCCTTATTCTGGTGTTCCAGCATTATAGAGGTGCCACAAATGTTCTTCAGCTGGGTCATAAATGTAAAATTTGCTGCAGGGTAAATCTTGCATTGCACCCTAACGTTTTCAGCCTATTCCAATGCTCAGACACTGCAAAAGTGACACACATAATGCTTCCACAGCTGAACCTCTGATGCAAAATTTCTATTGTTTGCTGTAAGGTAAAATGCTACATCTAAAGATTGCAGCTAGGGGCATTTCTAGGGTCCTAATAGACCATGGTCACCTCTAGGCAGAGATTTGGTGGTCATCATGATATCCTACCAGCCCATTTAACTTTTTAATTTGTATGCCTAGAACTGCCTGTGGCTAATCAGGACCCTAGAAACACCCCTGGCTGCAATCTTTAGAGTGCAATGCACTCAGAATGTGGTGCAGCTGTGCATGATAACCAATCAGCTTCTAACATCAGCTTGTTCAATCAAGCATTGACGAAATAAAAACTTGGAAGCTGATTGGTTTCTATGCAAAAGTGAACCAAATTTTGCACTCTCCAGTTTTAGTAAATCAACCCCATTGTGTGTCACTTTTAGAGTTTCAGAGCACCAAAATAGACTGCAGACTTTAAGGTGGAAGACGATAACTGATATATTTTTATTTCATTGGAAATAATACACTTATTTCAGCATAAAACCTTCCTTCTGCACTCCCTATTCTCTTACACTACAGCCTAGCCAAGGTGCTTACATACTGCTGAGCCACTCTAAAATATTTTTTTTTTTGTTACTGCATGTATGTTGTATTTTAAAGGAGGACCCTCTAATTTTATGGTATTTTTTTTTTTTTTTTTTGCATTGGCACATGTCCCCCATGGCATTATATAGCACCCATGTCCTTTTTTTTTTTGACAACCACTTGCCTATTAACCTTTAAAATGGCCAGAATTGATTATCAAGATTCAACCCAAATTTGTTGAAATTCACCAAGGTTCAACCAGTTAAAATGACATTTCCCGACATACAGCAACCTCAGTTCTTCTTTACTGTAACATCCACCCATCGTAAGAAAAGTGTAGATATAATTTTTCCTGAACATTCACCTGACTCCCTCAACCTATGTGCACTAAGTGTTTATGAAGAAAGCTGTGTTTCAATACAAATTCAGCACTTCCCAAGTTATTTTTTTTAAATATACGCAAAAAAAAAAGCAGCCTTTCAACCCTCCCTAAAAAGAAAGGGAAAACCCATGCACCTCCCTCCTCTGATATGCTAACTCTGGATTGATCTTCAGACATAACTGAAACCTAGAAGGTAAATATTAGTTAGAAAAAGAGGAATAAAATCATTTAAAATAGTTGTTTACTTTTATTTAACTGCTTTTTTTAGCCTGCATGCATGCTGAACTGGTTAGGAGCTTGAGGGATACCTAAGAATGAGTTTACCAGGGAGGGGGCAACTACCTACTTGCCACCCAGTCATGCCAAAGAGCCCAGTGCATATTAAACATAGTGTTTTTGGGAATCCCTCCGAAAGTATCCCCAATGCTGAAGGGTAGGGATAAGCTTATAGTCTGCTATGAATTTCCTGGGGGAAGGGGGCTCACACATTTTTTTTGCATGAAACTCAAAAGGTCTGGTATGTATTTTGAGTAGATTC